GGTAACCAGGAGGTTTGACTCTCTCGTTTACAATTTTTATAAACGAACAAAGTTTACTTAATAGCTTAACATTTTTGGAAGAGAACAATTCATTAAACTTGATAACATTTGGTCTTGTAACATAATATTTGGGAATATACAATTTTCTTTCATCTTTTAACTTGTTACAGCATAAAATATAGTGAAATTCGTCACCTACATCATTTTCACATAAAAGACATATTCTATTATCTCTTTCAGTACCTTCCCATCTTCCCGTTTCAATCGGTAGTTTATGATTTGATGTTCTGAATCTGGCTAAAATTTGTTTCTTATGATTACTTAAGACGCTATCTACATAAAATTGGCATCCAAATTTTGAATTTGTAAATAGATTATATATCACACCTTTTGAAGAATTATTGCAGTTTGATTCCCAATTTTGTTGAAACTGATCTAATAATTTTTGTTTCAAACTTTTAATTAGCCAAGTACTATTGAATAATTGGTTCTGATTCCATATATTACTGTATCCACAATCGTCTAAAATTGATTTCAAATTCTTTAACCATTTACATTCATTTCCATTGTCAAATTTAGCACGAAGTAATTTGTACATTAAATTGCAATATTTTGATTGTTTTCCACTTAAAATTTTTGACCAGTATGCAATAATTCTTGTTTTGATATGTACAGTTAAAGGTACTCTCCCTAATTCACCATATATCATAAAATTGGGAGTACTTGGTTTTAAATGAAAAAGCATTTTACAGAATTTTAGGTGTACTCTTTCTATAATTTCAACATTACCATAACCCCATACTTCACAGCCATATAACAAAATTGGAACAACAATCTTATCAAACAAATACAATTGATCATCAAGAGAGAGGTGTAATTGATTACCTTTTTTCAAAACACCATACATAGCTTTAATCGCTCTTTCAGTAGCATATTGTTTTGTCTTAATAAATGAACCAGTTGATGAGAATATAACTCCAAGATATTTAAAATGTTTGACAATTTCAATTTCATTGTTATTGTAATAAAAAACATTCTGTGGTGTACGTCCCTTCGAAAAAATCATTATTTTTGTTTTTTCAATATTAACCTCAAGTTTCCATTTTTCACAATACAATGAAAAACTGTGCAATTGATTCTGTAAATCTTCATGTGATTCGGCGAGTAAAACTGTATCGTCTGCATACAAAATAACCAACATCTTTAACAAAATACCAAGTTCTTGTTCAATCTCATATGATATTGTTGAGACTCCAATATTATTATGTGTAATTAAAAAAGATTCTACATCATTTAGGAATAAAGCAAATAAAAATGGCGATAGGTTTTCCCCTTGTCTTACCCCTATTTTGCATGGAAAGTATTCAGTAACCATATCATTTACAGCTATTCTCGATTTACTTTCAGAGTACATTTTCACTATCACATTAAAACATTTTCCAGTAATATCATTTTGAATAAGTTTTTGCCATAGTCCTATTCTCCATACATTGTCAAAAGCAGCCTTAAAATCTATAAATGCACAATACATTTTCTTTTTCAGTAAAAAGGATAATTCGATTAACGATTGTAAAGTGAAGATATTATCTATTGTAGAATAATTTGATCTGAAACCCCCTTGATTTTCATTCAGTATCTCATATTGTTCAGCATAGTTATTTAATCGCTTAGCTAAGATAGATGTAAATAATTTACCCATGCAGCTTAATAAAGTAATAGGTCTATAGTTTTCAGGGGCTTTGTCGTCCCCCTTATTTTTATAAATAGGCAAAATATTATCAACAATCCAAGCTTCAGGTAAAACTGCTGAGTTAAAAACAATATTAAATAACATAACATATATAGGTAACATAAGACTAGCGGAAGATTTTATGTATTCGTTAAAAATTTCATCACTACCAGCACTTTTGTCATTTTTAATACTTGCTATTGCTTGTTTTATCTCATCTTCAGTTATCACAGAGTCTAATTCTTCATTAATACACGTACCTATATACTCATTTGATACAAATTCTTCACTGTTTACATCACCCTCGTTAATATTTTTAAAGTATTCGTAAAATTCATCTATATCAATATCACATTTTTTGTTGTTCGGCCTTTTATTTATTATTTTCCAATAACTTTTTGGATCTTTACTTCTCAGTTTTCTAATTTTTTTCATTACTAAATTTCTATGTTTTTTCATACTTTTATCCATGGTATTTTTATATTTTCGTTCATTTACACGAACTTCTTCTTTCAAGATACTTAAACCATATTTTCTAAACATTCGTTTTGATTTCCGAAATTTTTTCCGTGCTATTTTACATTCTTTGTTAAACCACTCCTTTCTTTTCTGTAGTTGTTTACTGTGATTTTGTTGAGCATTGAAAACTCCGAAAGTTTTGCGCGCCGAGTTAAGCAATAGATCTGCAGTGTTTGAAAATATTTCATTTACCTGGTTTTTATCCAGATTATGAATATCAATATTACTTAAGATATTTTTTATTTTGTCTAGATCATTCAAATTAATATTTTGACAGAATTCTTCTGTTTTATCATTATCCCAAGATTTTGTCTTTTGACGCGAAGAGTTATTTTTATTTTTCATTTTTTCACATCTGGTTTGGAAGTTATAAGTGTCATTTGAGGTATATGAATTCATACCTATTTCACAAAGAAGTGGCATATGTATATCTGAGTATAACCTACTAAAATCTAGTATAGAAAATTTAAGTACATATTTCAAAAATTCAACACTACTTATACAGTAGTCAACCACACTTGATTTTGTTGTAGTAAATTTACCCTCTTCAAGTCTTCCATTCAGCAAATACATATTGTTATTTTTACAGAAATTTAATAAATTATTTCCAAAATTATTCTTCGTTTTATCTAATGATTTTCGTTTCCTAGGTATATTTATCTTTTGTAATTCAAATACATTTGAAAGACAGTCTAAACTGGGATCATCTAACTCATATTCTTGATTTGATATGTCATTTGGTTCAATAAAATCATCCTTTTCAGACGTTCTTGCATTAAAATCTCCAATTAGGCATATATGATTAAATTCACTCTGTAGATTCAAGAATTCAAGTTCAATTTCTTCAAAAGCTTCCCTTGAACTATATATAGAACTTTCTGGGGGTATGTAAACAATTCCTAAAATCAAATCTTCATCTGAATTAATTAAAAAAGAATTTAACCTTAACCAGTGAACAAACTTACAATTTGTGTGAATAATAGTTACAAAATCTTTAATAGATTTTTTGTATCCAATTACAATACCACCAGAACGTCTGTTAGAAAATACGTGTCTATTTTTAGCATCAAAGAAAAAATCAGTATGATCAATGGGTGTAGTATCATCCGTTTTTGTCTCAGTAAAACACAGAATATCATAGGAAGAAATAAATTTAGAAAATTCTGGGTAATTTAAACGTCTACTTAGACCACAAACATTTAATCCTAAGATTTTAAGTCTGCGAGCATGTTCAGTGGATGAATCGAGAGAGTTGGTTGGATAAGTAGCCACTAAATTGTCACGTGGTAGATTTCCTCCTAGGTTATCCTACCTTTGACTTACTGAGCCGCGTCTGTGGAATGGTCAGAATTCACGGGCCGCTGGAGATAGGCGCGGATCTAGATTGTGAGGTGCGGTGTTTTCCTGTTCGTAATCTGTCAGCACAAATCGTTAGCCGTTAATATAAAGTTTATCCATAATCAGTTGCGCTCTCTTGCCCTGTCGTTTAGCTGCTTTGTAGTGCGGGTACAGTAGTTTACGGTTTTCGTTTATCTCCTTGGGAAATTGTTCGAATACACTGAATTCTGGGTCGTTTTGATCGCCCGGACCTCCTTGATCCCGAAGGGCAGTGATAACCGTAATTGCAGTTTTTCGGACTTTTTCACGGTCCTTAAAGTTTACAAATTTTGCCACAACTGCCCGAGATTTTGTCTCTTGTTTCCGGCCCATGCGGTGAACTCGATGAAACGGAATTTCATCTGTTATTCCAAGTTTATCAGTCATAAATGCTTTTAACGCTTGTTCACATTGTTCTGCACTTTCTTCTTTTGGTTCATTAATACCAAGGAATATTAAGTTGTCCCTCATAGACCTTGCTTGTAATTCATTTTGCTGTTCTTTAAGGTTGGTCAGTTTGTTTGTAATAGTTGCCATTTGTTCTTTAAGTTCCACATTCTCTTTTTCTATATTTTCATGCATTTTTTTGGAAATCTTCATTTCTGCGACTATCTCTTTAGATGCTTTTTCATTCTCATCTAATTTGTCACTAGTGAATGTAATGCTTTTTTCTATTTCTGACATTTTTGTTTTTAATTCGAACACATCTGTTGTGACAGTATTCATTGTCATTTCAAATTTGCTGATTCGTGATTCAATTTGGTCAAGTTTATCTAGTTTCTGAAAAACTTTGTCAAGTGTTTTGGCTAGATTATCTATTTTACTGCCGTAATCAATTGGCTGCATTCCGCCCTGATACTGCTGTACCTGATGTACAGGGGGTACAGGTCCTACGGGTGAAAAGCTGTAATTCATTACGGGCATTTGCGACATTTGTGGAATTTGGTATGTATGATTTTGATTACTTTGCATACTCTGACTGTTCACTGGGGTTGAAAATAACTGGTGAGAGATTCTTTGTGTGTCTACATTGTCTACATTGTCTTGAGACGTACTCATAACACTTACTTTTCTTTGTTGCGCTTCACTGCTCACATCTGGGCCTTCTTTTCTTTTCTTGCCTTTCTTTGATTTATTTCCACTGGAACCACTTTCAGGTGTTTTAGGCCCCATAACACACAATTGATATCGTTAGATTAATCTCCCAAATCTTTCCAAAGTTCCAAAGTTTGTTTTATAACAAAAAAATTAGTTTAAATCCAGAGCTCAAAAAATCATGACTCTCATTCAGCTCACGCATGCGCCAGACAGTGGGTGATCAGAAAAGCTCATTTGAGCTTTCAGTCAGGTGAGGTAAAAAATTAAAATCAATTACCTGGCATCCCTTCCTTGTAGTTCCTTTTCCTTATCTTGAAGGGCATTATTTAGGTCAATTATCTGCTGTGTGTTCTACAAGGGAATAAAATTAGTCACAAACAATCCAAATAAGAATTTAAATGTCTAATTAATATACTAGTAATAAAAATTGAGGAGAGAAGTAAAACTCAATAGACAGAGCTAAATTTGAAGACTTAAAATTAGTTGTACTTATATGAGGAAAATCTACTGGAATTTGATTCTTTACAGAAAATGTAAGCTGAATACCTCTCCTCTCCTCCTGTGAAGTTCTGTGAGTTCCTCTTGAAGCTTAAAGAGTTTCTGTTCCAGAGCCTGGCTATTTCCTCCCCCTCCCCCTCCACTAAAAGGCAAATAAATTAAATAATTTCTAAGGGTTTTAATTAACTTTTCGATATTTTATTTATCAGGAGATTGCTTGAAGAATATGCATATGACAATCCATCTTGTGTCGCAAATAAAAATAAATTTGGAGAAAGAAGTAGATTTTAACAATAAGGCCTGTATGTCAAAAAAGATCTGAAAATTGTATATGCATGATTTTACCATTCCCTTTTAAAATACTAATCACAGAATCAGTTTCTATTCTATTTGTAACTAGCTGGTTGACTCCTAACCAAGTCAACTTATAACAAAAAACAGTCAAGTTGCAATAAGATACAAATGTCATTGTAAATTGGAATTTGGATTGGTTATGAATTGGCTCCTGTTCTTTTTACACTGGGGAACTCAAGTTGTTCCCCTTGGAAAATTAAGTTGTTACCTTAAATCTGGCTCTGACTGGCATACTTTAGATCCTTAATGTATAGCTATCTAACGAGCAGATCAAAGGGCCTTTACTTTACTCAAATTTTTAAATATCATTTGGTTATCTTTTATAAGATCAAGATGTCCCTCATCTTCAGTTGCAATTCTTTTTTTTTCAGTTTATTGGGTATAACTTTGTATCTTGGGTTCAAGTTGACATTTTCAAGAGCAATCTGAGTTGATCTTAATACAAATTAATTAATACTTTATAAGTATTTTTATTGAAAATGTTTGGAGAATTTTATCTGCTTCCAAAAGTAATTATCAGCAGATAGAAATGGTTGAATTTAATTAGAAGAGTTGGATGAGTGAAAAGTATCAATGAAAATGTAACCCATAGGTTTTTAGCATGGTTCAATGAATGTTCAGCATGATTTTTCAACAGGACTTCTTTCTTATATGTCCTTAAAAGTCAACAATGATCAATCTTGTGTTGAATTCAACAGCACTTTGTCTCCAGCTTATGTATCCTACCTCCACAGCAAAAGAGTTCCGAAAAGGGAACGACTTTATTTTACCGGTCCCCAGAAAAATGTGCTAAATTATAGTGTCGCCGTAGGTGACTTCAATATATATGAGATCGCGTGAGCAATCGAAAAAAATTAAAAATATGAGGTTTTAAGCCTTTTTGCCCCCAAAATTGAATTCTACGGTTAAGTTTAGTTTAAAACTTCGTTTTTAACCTTGTTCTCTGAATAAAAAGTAATAAATATTGTTTATTCAGTGAAAAGGGGACAAAAAATAATTGTGAACGAAGCGCTTGTGACGCACGCTTAGTGCCGTTTCTTTCGTATTTAGCCATTTTTTCATGTAAACAAACCAACGAGATGTCATTGAAGCTGAATCAAGATCTTGCAAAAAATACAGATGCAACTGAATTTCTTAATTAATCTAAAAGAACAAGACACTAACCATAATCTCTTGGATGGTATGGAGGCAGGGATTTATCAGTACCTTCTCAGGGGCCGAAATTCGGCCCCATTCCCAATTCAGTTTTTCCCAATTTGGCAGGATTTTTTCCCAATTGGTGAACAATGTTTTTATATTTAATTATCTTTGAAAAACACTGAGTAAAATTGTCTGTAAATTTCATCTATTTAATTCATTTAGCAAAGCTACAGTCATAACAAATGTTTATAAACACTGTAAAAACATCGCCAACTTTTAATCCGAATTTCCTCTGTTTCTGAAAATGGTGATATTGTGTAATTGTATAGATTTATTAAGTTATTTCTACCTACTCAATTGATCTACAAGTGAATGGTAAGGACTGTATGCATTATATAAGATAGAAAAATATATTTTCAATGTTTTAATACATATTAAAATAGGACTTTGAGAAAATGTGTACTAATTAAGCTTAGTATAATTCTTTGCAGGAGGTTTATAATCTCCAAAAACAGACTCTATAATGACCTAAATTGGAATCTCATACACACATGTACTACCCTAAGTTGTATAAATACTTTATACTCATTAAAGTCAATTTTACTTTTATTAGTCTGTCTTTCATAAGTGATCTTGTATGACGAAGTTGGATCATATTTCATTGTCTGTTTGGTTGCCCAAAGCAGTATTAAATGAATTACACCTGAATACATGATTTAAGCAACATTTTCAATTTTTCCCAATTTCATTAAATAGTGATAATTTTTTCCCAATTCCCCCAAAATGGCATTTCCCAAAATAGGCTGATAAATCCCTGGGAGGACTAACCCAATTCTCCCAGGCGGATGCTACAAGCATTGCTAGACCATGGTGGACTAACCCTAATCTCTCAGATGGATGCGAGACTAACCCTAATCAGGTGAAAACTTATGCAAGGACTAACTTTTAATCTTTCAGGTGGGTGCAAGACTAACCCCAACCAGTCGAAAAATGTGCAAAACCAACCCTGATCAATTGAGTGACGTAAATCTTACGTCATAGTGCAATGAGCGAGCGGATCTTGCGGATCTGGGGACCAGTAAAGTAAAGTCTACCCCCGAAAAGTTCCACAAAGTAATTGCTAAATCAAGTACTGACAACACAACCATCTGCTAAAATTGGGATGATTGTGGCTCAAATGATTTGTGCAAGGCTTCAGTCCTTTTCTTAGCTCTTGCTGAATCTTTACCCTTCCTGTCACAATATTAGCACCCTATCAAGAAAATTTGATTCAACTACTTTTCCCTCATTTTTAGATTTGGTACTTGCCCTTGTTCAGCTTTGATTTGTAATCCAAGATTTTCTTCCTTAAGTTTTTCTGTCTCTACTGTTAGCTGGACATTCTTTGTCTTCAATGTCTGTGCACTTTCAAAATGCTTCCAGTCTGTAATTTAACAACGTTTTCACATTTCATTTAGGTAAAGTCAAGTAACACTGAAAAATAAATTTTAAACAGCAACAGCAGCACACTCCTTAATTTAGAGGAAATTCGGAATAAACCTTTATTTACTAAAATACTTAGCATACGGCAATTGTAACCCTTCTCTTTATATGGCCTAATCTTCTCAGCATTAATTCGAGGTTTAGCGTGAAGTGACATATTATATATATTATTTATAAACAAGAAATTTTGGGGGAGTGCAATTTTCAAATTTTCACCACACAAACCACGATTGCATTGTGGTGTCAACTTTCCCGATAAGAAAGAAACAGCCTAGCTGTAGTAAATACTAACGTGAAGCAATCAAAGACTCGAATGGTGCTTTCTCCCTTTTGTCCCGCTGTCGGAGTTGCTCTAACAGCAAGTGTTTCCAATGAAGATCCCTTGGATCCATTCTGCTTCAGGATCCAAAGGAAAATAAAACCCGAGCCGCAGGTCCGTATTCAGATAATTTTTATGAGCTGGAAAAAAGATTCGTTTTCTATTAATTCATTGGGTTCAACTCATACAGATTTTGATTTACTAAATCTTTTGAGACTGTGTAACCAATGTTTTCAATGAAAGAAGTTTTTATCATTAAGTTATTGCGGAATCGAAAGTGAAAGTAGACAAAAGCAAGTTTTATAAATAAAATAACAATAGGAATCGTTTGGCGAATTCACTTCCTTGTAACTTGTTTTCTTTTAATGAATTTTAAACATCAGTTACATACAGTTGTAGGAGCACTCAAAGAAAAGCACCGTTAAGCAGTGGTAAGTATCTTCAACTTACTTGTTTAAGCAGCTGTATAATTTCTTGCGAAACCACACGAAACATTCGGATTAAGAAATTCACATGATTATGAAGCAACTGAGTGAGTTTCCTATTGTAACGACCTGAAAGCAAATGGTATGTGTTGTGCAATGACACACTGAACGAAAGATAATGCAGAAGTGCGTGTCTAGGAATGGGTACATAAACTTGATAAAGTAATTTGTAACCTGGTAACGATATTGTTTCCTGATAAATTTCCATAGATATCCCTTTTTATGTTAGAAATTAATCGCTGTCATCATTGAGAGTTTCGGACATAATTTTATTCAGCCTATTCCACTTATATTGAAATCACTTATTTAAAATAAAACTAGAGTAAATTCCAAGTCTCTGTTTCTCTTTATCTTTGCAATAAAATACATGAATCTGCTTATATTGAGTTGTCACTTATTTTGAAGTAAATTATTGACCCGCTGAGCTTATAATGGGTTAATTGTTTTTATATATAAATGATCATATTGAAGTTCTCTGGCCAGTTGTCGTAACAGTTGCATGGTGACATCGTAGTTATACAGGTAGATGCTAAGGTATCAGTTGATATATTTAATATGTTTTCAACTTTTCATTACATGTTTTTATAATAAGAAATAAATTAATGGGGGTGTTTTGTTCTCTCTGATCACATATTGACATGCTTGTGTAAATGGGTAAATCATGTAGATCACAAGAAAGAAAAACATTGTCTCTAGATAATTAAAATGAATTAATGTCTGCTATAGGTAGAAATGTGAAATCATCAAAGGAATTTTTTAGAAATCCAAGCACACTTGCAAGCATCCTCACAGTGTCTTGGGTCCTGAGTCAACACGTTGCCATTTGACGGAAACGTTGACTTTGGACTCCTGACGTTTTGAGAATGACTCGCAAGGATATGCCACTGTTATCAAAGCCTTCGAGTTTGGAGACTTTTCCACTAAACAAAAAAGAACAAGAAAACTTGATGTTGCCATCAAATTGCTACTGGGAATTACACTATGTAAAACTCTTTTAGTCTTATATGTATATAGGCATCCATATGTAAATTTTTTTTTAAAGGCCAATCAAATGACTTCATTCCGATGCTTGTCCTCTATGCCAGAGATTTACAGAAATAGATAACTCAATGTCTGCTTGTCAATGAACAAAACCTCAACCTTTGCAGAATAACAATTCTTAGAAATATATGTTTTTTCTCGAAAGAAAAAAAAGACTGTTATTTAATTGTCATTTCATTTCTTTTAAGTGCATAGAATCAGATAGGTTAGGATCTAACATATCACTTAAATTTCATTTAATATTTAAGTGATATGAGGTAACGGTAAATGTTTTTTTATTTTTTAAGATTTGATTGTCTGAAAAATTGGGAGCTGTCATTTTGAATGTAAGCATATGATCAGCAAACTTGCATATTAAAACAAAAAAATATCTATATTTTACACAAGAATGTGATGGATGTGAATTATCTACATATTTTATAACTGCTAGAAAAGATTGTTAAAAAATATTCTGATGAATACATTTTTTTATAAAATGTTAGTTTAATTCTCAACAACTTCTCTCATTGTATTCCCCATCACAATCTGCAAACTCGTATATATACCGTATAAGTGGAATTTTTAGCGAGACACAAATTTAGCAGTTTTGCCTTAAAAATCAGCATTATTTTTTAGCGAGAAGTAATTTTAGTGATTTAATGAAGCCTAGAAAGTCAACAGTAACCTCCAATGCAGAATGAACTGTTAGTGATATTCAGTTTTAGCAATCTCAATACCCTAGCTCGCTAAAAATGCCAAAATTAAATCCTCGCTAAAATTTCTACTTATACGGTATATATATAGATCAGGATCAGAAAATTAAATTATACTAAGGTTAAAAAAATTAAGGACTTTTTACAAATAAATCTGAATTAAATGAACAAACTATTTCATTTCACTATAGTATGTTGTAAATTTTGTAATGTTGGTCCGGGTTTGTTTAGGTATTTTAGATCAGAATCAGGAATTAAATCTGAAGAGACCAAAATAAGAATTCAACATTAAATAGAAGAAGTTTTAACATGTGCAAGGGGGAAAAAATATTCACTAAAATCAAATTTAAGGATGCAATTTTGTTGTTAAAACATGATAATATTAAGGATGTTTTATACAGAGGAGGCATTGCTTGTCTTCTGCCTGTTTACACTAAAAATATCTCACTTGTACTTTGTTAAGTATCACCATACATTTGGAAATAGTATCATCCATTGTCACATTACATTTTGTTCATACATCATTTTCAATTCAGAATTCAGTTCCAACTGATCCTTATAATTTAATAGTTATTAATATTGAATCATCCATGTCCATTAATTCCAAAGTTGTTATTGCATAGTCATGTCACTATTCTATTTCCTCTCACACAAATTCAAAAGAAAAACATACACCATTAGCTTCTTTCTCTCTCTCTTTTTTTTGAAGGAAAAAAAATATCTTCAAATATTGTTTTGAATCCTTAAGTAATACACACCAGAAAACAGTTTTAATACAATACAGTGTGACTTCAATTTTAACCAACAATTTTTAGCTCACCTTGATGAAGTTAGCGTTGGCTTAAGTTTTAGGAGCAAGTTCATTCTCAAGAAACTATAAGCCCTACCTGCACCAAGCTTGCATGGATGATTATCATCTAGGGATGGACACTACCAGACTTGCTTCAGATACCGGATCTTACATACATTTTCCAGATGATTGATCAGGTTAAAGTTTTTGGAGCAGGTCCATTCCCAAGGAACTTATAATAAGCCCTACATGCATCAAACTTGCATGAATGATGCATTTAAGGATGTACACTACCAGATTTGCTTGGGATGCTGGATGTGACCTACATTTTCCAGATGAGTTACCAGGTTAAAGTTTTTGGAGCCATTCCAAATTAAGTATAAGCCCTACCTGGACCAAACTTGCATGTATGATGCATCTAGGGATGGATATATTAGACTTGCTTTAGATACTGGACCTGACCAATATTTTCCAGATGAGTGACCAGGTTAAAGTTTTTGATGCAAGTCCATTCCCAAGTAACTTATTATAAGCCTATTGGATCTGACCTACATTTTCCAGATTAGTGAATATTAACCTTACAAGAACCAAATAGCATGGATGATACATCTAGGGATGGACAATACAAGACTTGCTTTGGATGTTGGATCTGACCTAATTTTCCAAATGAGTGAGCAGGATAATGTTTTTGGAGTAGGTCTATAATTATATGGCCTGTTGTGATTAAACTTACATTGATGATGCATCTAGGGATAGACACTATCAGACTTGCTCCAGATGCTGGAACTGACCCACATTTTCTGGATGATTGAACAGGTGTAAGTTTTTGAATCAGATCTATTCTCAAGATGTATAAATCCTTCTCAAACAGATACTGATCTCGGGATGCACACTAACTAGAAAGAAATTTGATATGAGATTTGCTTACTTATAGATAACAATCGTCAAGGTGAGCTTCATAATCTTTGATTACCTAAGTTTTGAAATGTAATTACATGTATGTAATTTGGAATAGAATACAGTCTGTTTGGGAATGGGGTATAAGACCATCATGTATCTTATATTAACTACATGTTTTAAAAGTAAACACTAACTGAGATAAATTACTCTGACTTTGAATGCTCATCAAATTGACGTTGTTGCCAAAAGTTAATGGGTTCAAGTTTGTTTTAAAACACAAGAGATTGTTTAACAGTACAACTATACATTGTACAAGGAAAGAGTTCTTTGTCAATCCACTTGTACTTAAGTACATCTCAACATTCGATGAACTTTCTGATTACAAAAGAACAAGGTTCACATAGGAGTTTTTTTTGTCCCCAAAAAATTTCCGTAAAAATTTGATGAAATTGATAAAATTTAGAATATCAGTTGCACTCATCATGCCAACATATCCGATAAATTTTGCTAGTCTCCACGTTATATCACCATAAATTGTGTCATTGTTTCTAATTCTTAGTTGAATGCATCAAAATCCACAAATTTTCAATACAATCTAAGAACTGCATAATTTCACTAGGCATCTTATCCAATAATTGAATTTTTTTATTAGGTCACCTGAGTTTACTCAGGTGACCTCTTGCTATCTGTTTTTGTCTGTCGTTGTGTGTAGTGTGTCTTGCGTTAATATTTGAACATTTTCAGCCTTTTCTCCTGAACTGCTGAACCAATTTCAGCCAATTATGGCATATAGCATCTATAGATGAAGGACAGTAAAAATTGTGAAATTCATGGCCCCTGCCCCTTGGGGCCTGAGGGGTGGGGCTAAAACCATCAAAATTAATCTGCAATCTTTAAAAATCTTCTTCTTTACTCCTGGACATCAAGCAGTCAAACTGTTGGCATGATTGTAATAAGCATAGAGCCATCTAGCAAAATTGTGAAATTCGTGGTCCCAGGGTCAGGGGTGGGTTCTGGTGTTAGGGTTGGACTGTAGAGATAATGCATTATTTCTTTGAAAATCTTTTCTGCTCCCGGGCATATCAGAGGCAAATAGTGCAAAAGTTTTAATAATTAAGCAAAGGTATTTTTACCAGATTTTTGATTGCCCACATGGCACAGTGGTTAGAGCATCTGCTCTAGAGTGGTGAAGTAAGAAGCCATTCCTTTACCGCGGGTTCG